GACTGTTAAGTTTCAGGGAAGGGTCCATTATCACTCCCAGATTAGCGACTCTTTGTTTTTCTGACAGGGATAGAGTGGAAAGGTCGATGCAGTTGTTTGTGATTGTGTTGTTGGGAGAGAACAACATGACTTCAGACTTCTTTTCATTAAAACTTAAGAAGTTTAAAGCCATCCAGTCCCTGATGTCAGCCAGGCAGTTGAGCAGAGTTTGAATAGAGCATGTACCATTGTGTCTTGGGGGAAGTAAATGTGACAGTCATCGGCATAGAAGTGAAAGGGTATGTTGTGTTTCTGGAAAATAGCACCAAGTGGCAGCAAGTATAAAGAGAATAGGAGGGGACCCAGGATGGACCCCTGCGGAACCTCCCATTTAAGCTCTGTCGCTGCAGAACTAAAATCCTTGATGGAGCCACAAAAGGATCTGTCAGCGAGGTAGGATCTGAACCAATTGAGGGCTGACCCTGTGATGCCTACCCACTTCTCCAACCTAGCAATGAGGATCTCATGGTTGATGGTGTCAAAGGCGGCTGTGAGGTCCAATAGGACAAGCAGCACAGAAACACCGGTATCTGTGGATATGAAGATGTCATTAAAAACCTTCAATAGGGCAGTTTCAGTGCTGTGGAGAGGTTTAAAGCCAGATTGGAATAGCTCTAAGATGGCATGATCCTCCAGGAAGCACTTCAACTGGGACTCAACTATTTTCTCCAGTATTTTAGAAACAAATGGGAGTCTGGAGACAGGCTGGAAGTTGGATACGATTGAGGGGTCAAGGTTTGTTTTTTTAGGAGAGGCTGGACAGCAGCATGTTTAAAGGATTTTGGCACCACACCAGTGGATAAACTACTGTTTACTATAGCCAGAATGGATGAACCTAGAGTAGGAAAAACCTCCTTTAGTAGTTGAGGGGGAACCACATCAAAGGGGGAACCAGAAGGTTTCAAGCTGCACATGACCTGCTCCAGAGAAGATAGAGTGATGGGTTCAAAATGGTCAAATAGAGCTACAGATTGAGGTGGGATGGATGGGTCATGAGGAGGGGAAATGAGAGCCCGGGTGGTCGCAATTTTTTCCAAAAAGAAATGTAAGAAGTTCTCTCACAGCTCAGTCAAGGCTTCCAGAGGTGATGGTTCAGTGAGGTGGAGAACAGAGTTTAGGGTAGAGAAGAGGACACGTGGGTTGTGAGAGTTTGAGGTTATGATATCAGAAAAGTATTTGGATTTAGCAGCTTTTACTGCTTTCTGATAATGGCACCAACTCTCTTTAAGTATTTGAAAAGAGACCTGCAGCCTGTCTTTCCTACACTTGTGCTCCGCCCTCCTGCACTGCTGCCTAACGACCTTGGTGACGTCACTCAGCCAAGGTTCTGCTCTGAGTTTTGATTTTCTAGTTTTAACAGGAGCGACATGATCCAGAGTCTTTAAGCAGACAGAGTTGAACTGCGATGTCAGCTCCTCAGTGGTGGTGAGAAACACCGGGGGCTGACTTATCATTTCAGAGTTATAAGCATCTTTGAAACGTGCGGCAGTGAAGTGGTTAATGGTCCGGCTGCGACGTGCAGGAATGCACGACTTAGGAGTTAGATGGGGGAGGGTGGACTCCTTGTTGCAGTCTCCAATCTTGAGCAAGCACAGTGGTAACAGTGGAAAGGAAAAACTCCCTTTTAAAAGGAAGACATCTCCAGCAGAACCAGGCTCAGGACAAGTGGCCATCTGCATTGACTGGCTGGTTTGAGAGGACAGGAAGGAGAGACAAACGAACACAGAATGGTAGGTCCAATCAGGCAGCCATTTGTCAGAACTTGGGGTGTCAGACACTTAACACAAGAGTCAAAAGCAGAATAAGCAGTTTGGCATTGGCAGAGAAGATCTGACAAGTTTTTCATGGGTTCAGCCCACAAATGTGGCACCATTTACGGGGAAACAGGCTTTCTAACAATTTAAAAATAATTGCTGAGGAGCATTAGAATTTACCACTAAACACAAGTTTTCTTACTTTTTGATGTCACAATTGGTGCTGGTGAACCCAGTTGTGCAGGCAAGCAGGCAAGGACTCAGGATTTATATATAAAAATAAAAGATTTATTAACAAAACAAAAGAGCTGACAGGGCAGAAAAAACTAACAAGGATGGACAGGTGGTACTTACAAAACAGACAGGTCCTTAACAATGAGCAGTAGACAATGCCAGGACAAAGACTAACACAGAGACACAGACTTATATATAGAGAAACACTATTCAGACAAAGTGAAGGCACCTGTGAGTGATCACAGATGCCAGGAGACAGAGACTGAAGACGCAGGACATAAACATGACACAAGATGGGGCTTGACACTAAAGAAACACAAACCCTGTAGAGACATAAACAGAGGATCAGGGAAACACAGACATGAACATAACACCAAGGACAAAACCTCAATTCCTACATTTGATATATTTAGTTACTCGTAGTTAGGAAGCAACAAAGTCCATGCTCAATAATCCAGGTATACAATCCAACATTTTTCAGTCAGGTCATCTGGACATTTTCTTTTGTTGTGCTAAAACGTTTTGCCTTCAATCTGGAAGGCTTCAGTTTTGTGTTGTGTGTTTCCTTGACTGATAAAGCCTTCCGGGTCGAAGGCGAAACGTTTCAGCACAAAAAAAGAAAATGTCCAGATGACCTGACTGAAAAATGTTGGGTAGTTAGGAAGTGTTCAGGGCTGATGCAGAACTCAAAGAATCTCCACACTTTTTCTTATTGAAGGAGGACCATCACTTGTTTAAATCATGAACTCCCAAATGAAAATCCCACTCTGTCAAAAACAAGAACTTGGAGGAATATAGAACTTTAGGTTGATTTCTTATGTGTGAGAACGAGAGAGCTTTAAAATGATTTTACGTTGCATTTCTCAGAAAAAGTAAAATGATGTGCAGAGGGATCACAGCTTTTAATGTGTAATAGACATATGTTTCATTGTTATTAGAGTTTAACTAATACTCTGGTTGCTTTTTATGAGACTTGAAATGAATAAATGAAGAGAAAAAAAATCAACGTTCACCATTCATCAGTTTAGGTTAGTGCTGCCATCAAGTGGTAGGATTGTGTCATGTTCCTAACAGTTCCATTCATTCATTCATTCATAGCATTCAAGCAAGTAAGGAAAGAACTGGTCATTGAAAGCACCATGTGCACAAACATACATATGCAAACTAGAAGATATTAAACTCTTTAAAATCAGTTAGATAGGAGTCCTTATTAGTTTTTGACACATTCAAGACACTGATTTTGTTAGAGGAAAACACTCGTAATCAACTATTTCCTACTGGGTCAATAAAGTTCTATCTTATCTTATCTTTGTGGGATTCCTGGTTTCCCTCTGTCTGTTTGTGTCTGTTTGTCACT